GAGAGAGAGAGAGAGAGAGAGAGAGAGAGAGAGAGAGAGGCATGGAAGAAGGGGAGGAACACTCACCTTCGGCAACGTACTCCGAGGACGTCCAAGGTGGCGGCAGGTCGCAGTAGCAGACGAATGAACTCGACGGTGGATTGCAGCAGTGGACAGAACGTGGAGCAGAGTGCTGTTTTTTTGCGCGGCGACGGCCTGGAAAACCAAGGAGTTTGAATTCGAATTCTTAGGGCCTACCCGCTGGAGGGCATCCCAGGAACATGCATCCATCGCGAAAGGGCAAATCGAACAGCCACCACGGGAAATGGGACCGGCGGTCCGGTAGGGGCATTCCGAAAAGTTGCACCCCTCACTGACAGGGGCCTGCACGAAAGTTCAGAGGACCCAGGGGCAAATCAGGGTAAGTCGCCGTCGGAGGGGCAAAACGCAAATAAACGCAAACTTCAGGGGCATTTTGAAATATTGTGTAAAAACAAATAAAAAAAATAAAAAATGGGGCCAGTAGAATAGTCGTCCGGGAGGCGGGCGGGCCGAGGTCCCGCTTAGCAAAGGGGATTCGATTAAGCGCCCGAATCTGGCTGGGTTTTATTTCGAGATGCATAAAACCAGCAGACCAATCGCGATTTTCTGCCTCTCCCGACAAAAACACGTCCACGTACAGGCGTTAAATGGGATTGGATCCTCTTTGCTACCAGCAGTGGGACCTCTCCGCGGGTACCATGTCTGCTGGAGCGAAGATACCAAAAGAAAAGATACTTCCCGAAAAAAAAAAAAAAAAAAAAAAACCATCCCTGCCGGAACAAAGATACCCGTTTTCCGCCAAAGACAGCGCACACTAATTAGGATGTATACAAACCGTTTCCCAGGTCCGATACAGTCAGGAGTGAGGGCGTACTCACACTACCACCATCTTAAATGTATCTGACTGTATTTATGGCGGCGCTGTATGCACCTGGCTGCGATTCCGTCCACAAATAAGTAGTAAAGTGCTAGTGCAAGTGTGCGCTGAGGTGGGGGGGTTGCATTGGATTGGGCGGGGGGGGGGGGGGGGAAGGAGGTACCGAACGTGCCCAGCTTTGGCGCCGCGGTGACTAAGGGTCAGATCCCACCAACCTGGATTATTCATTTTTTACCCTAGATTACGAAGATCAACGGTCATAAATGAACAATAGGGGCTAGTGGGATCTGGCCCCCTTAGGCTCTCGAAACGTGAAAAAGACAAAACTGTGGCGTGCGCATATGGCCGTGTTCTAGGGTAAAGTTCATTCTCCTTTTTCACATTTCTCGAGTGGTGTGGGGATGCCCTAAGAGGGTGCGGTGTTCGAGCGAGCACGCGGGAAGCTGTAACTTAGGGCCTCGCCACACCACTCTCGAAATAAGAAAACGACAAAAATGTGGGGGTGCATCGGGTCATGTTCTAGCGAGAAATTCGTTCTCATTTTGCACATTTCGAGAGTGGTGTGGCGAGGCCCTTATATCCATTAATAATTTATGTATGCAATAATAAGTTACTAATCATTTATGTGTATTTTTCTGTTGACGTGAATATGTGTAAATCTTCTGACGTGTCACGGAGGTGTGCGCGTGCGGCGGTAAGTTTTGCGCACGCGCGCGCGCACACGCTCACGCTCACGCTCGCGCTCACTCACGCGCGCACACGCTCACGCTCGCGCTCGCGCTCACTCACGCGCGCACACGCTCACGCTCGCGCTCACTCACGCGCTCACACACGCGCACACGCGCACACGCGCACACGCGGACATAGGCGCACACGTGGACGCACGCGCACACGCTCACAGGGTCACGCGCGCAGTCGCGCAGACGCGCATTCTTCTGCTCCCGCAGTGGGGCATTCCGTCACTGATCGTGTGCGTGCGCGCGTGTGCGCTTGTGCGCCTGCGTCCACGTGTGCGCTTGTAGAGCGACAGCAGACACACAGAGAGAGAGAGAGAGAGAGAGAGAGAGAGAGAGAGAGAGAGAGAGAGAGAGAGAGCTACAAATCTTCTTCATCGGGGCGGTGAAAGAATTTCCCAAGTGTCACTGAAAGTAAGTGGTGACAGGCCTTTTTTTTTTCGTTTTTTGGGCAGGCCTCTCCTCGGTTCATCCGACGTTTCCCCGATTATCCGCTGCCTAGGAAAGAGGCCAGGATGGGGATGTGGGATGGTGCTGCCGTACCTTGGCATACCTCTCCCCCCCTCCCCTCCCCTCATCCCCCCTCTCCCCCCCATGACGTGGCGGCGGAACCGGGATCCATCCTTATCCGCTTTATAATCGAACAAGATTCCTTTCTTCGCTTTTTTCCCATATCTCTGTTTTGTCGGTATTGTCTTTCTGTTTGTCTTATCCCTCTCTCTGTCGTTCTTTCTATCTCGTTGTTCACAACCACCGTATCCTCTCTCTCTCTCTCTCTCTCTCTCTCTCTCTCTCTCTCTCTCCGTGTGTGTTGCTTTTTTTATCTCCTTATCCACACGTACCTTATCATCTCTCTTTCCCTCCCTCTCTCCCTGTCTCTGTTGCTCTGTGTATCTCCTTATTCACACGCACCTTCTCTCTCTCTCTCTCTCNCTCTCTCTCTCTCTCTCTCTCTCTCTCTCTCTCTCTCTCTCTCTCTCTCTCTCTCTCTCGCTGTGTTGCTCTTTCTTTCTCCTAATCCACACCTGCTCTCTCTCTCTCTCTCTCTCTCTCTCTCTCTCTCTCTCTCTCTCTCTCATTCTGTGGCTCTCATGCTCGTGACCTCCGGCCGATCCTGCTCTTCCTTCAGTCTGTGGATAATTTCTGGTTTGAATCTGTCTTCGGATAGGGCAGATCTCTTCTCTGACCTAAAAATAGCATTTTAAGAAAAATCTTATGGGACAACTTAGACCGATGTGTATCGTTATCGAAGCAAGACGGACAAAAAGGGGAAATATACGTACATGTACTGTTATATGCATATGTATACCCTATGTGGATTCCCTGTCCCCCCGTCTCTCTCTCTCTCTCTCTCTCTCTCTCTCTCTCTCTCTCTCTCTCTCTCCTCTTTCTCTCCCTCCCTGCATTTCTTTTGTAGCGTAGGTGTGATGACGTGGACACTTCTTTTCGTTGGTTTTTCTTAAGCGCAGTATCCCTCTCTCTCTCTCTCTCTCTCTCTCTCTCTCTCCTTTCTCTCTGCTCTTACATGTCGTCATCCTACGTGGATCACCCGCTGCACTTACACGCGGATGACACGTGGCATCCCCGTTGCCCTTGTCATCCACGTAGGATGCGTTACTCTTACTTGTCATCGAAAATTTGCGTATCACAGAAAAAAAAAAGAAAAAAAGAAAAAAAAGAAAAAAAGAAAAAAAGAAAAAAAGGCCGCAAGACTACGGAGGGTGACTTCGAAACGAAAGGAGATGAGTAACACTACACAAAAAGGAGAAAAAAAAAAAAGAAAGAAAAAAAGTAGTATTGAAATGAAGAAACAGAAACGATCTTAGGTGGATGACACGTTGCGCTTACTTGTCATCCACGTGGGATCGTTTCTGTTTCGTCTCTTTATTACTATTTTTTTTTTTTTTCTTCTTTTTTTTACGTCGTGTAGTTGCTCTTCTCCTTTCGTTTCCAAGTCACCCTCCGTAGACTTGCGGCCTTTTTTTTTTTTTTTTTTAAAGAAAAGTTTGGGTTATTACAGAAGGAAACGGGGGGCTGGGGGTAAGCGGACGGGGAAGGACGAGCAGGGAACAGGGTCTCTTATCTCCTCGTAATCGTTATCGACAGCACCTGATTTTTTTTTTATTTTTTTATTTTTTTGGGGGGGGGGAGGGGGGGGGGATAGTCAAGGGAGTTTCGTAGCTCATTAAAATCCAAACGAAAAATAAAATAAAATCCAAACAAGGAGTAAAAATTTTTAATAATGAGACTTATTCACAGGGATGAGGGGCAAAAAAAGAAGCCTTTCGGTTTCCGGGGGCAAGGTCCCACTTGCACGGTGATTAAGAGATTCTGGCCGTTGATTTTTTTTTTTATCTACGGTCAATATCGCTTATTTCGTGTAAGTGGGACCTCGCCCCCGGGGCATGGTCCCACTAGCAACCGGATAGGATAGAAAAGAGTTTGTGTGGCAGTTGAGTGACCCAAATCCTGCCGTGCAGTACTCGTGAGTGATCCCACGGTCGGTATTTTTTTTTACAGTTATTTTATTACCCGAAAAAAAAGTAAGGAGATCTTGGTTCCCCTCCTCCTCTCCTTAACACTGAGCATGCCGGTGCAAAGGAAGCTTCCCGCCAATTTTTTTTCAATCCGTTGGGGGCATGGTGCGAAGGAAGCTTCCCGCCAAAATCTTTTCAATCCGTTGGGGGCATGGTGCGAAGGAAGCTTCCCGCCAAAATCTTTTCAATCCGTGGGGGCATGGCCAACCCCAAAAGAGAGCGGGGTCGGCCATAGACCCACTGGATAGAAGATTTTCAGTATTTTGCTTGCTTGCTTGCTGTTGTGCAATTATCTCATTGGGTGGGTGGAGCCCTCCTTCAATCACGGAGTATATATATATATGGAGGGTGTCAGAATGATCACTGCTGACAGAAGTCGAGTTTTTATTCCAGAAAAGAAATGTGGCAGTTACTTTGTTCACTGTTGTGGGGACCACCACCATCAGATCATTTGTGATCTGATGGCTGGGAAGCACTCTGCCGTGATTTCAGGTGGGAGGTCTCTGTTTTTTTTTTTTTTTTTTTTTTTGGCCTTTCTCCTGTTTTCTCACCCCAGAAATTCATTTCGTAACGAACCTGTCAGGCCGCTGCCACTCAGTGTCACACTGGATCATCAGTGTCACACTCCTATCGGACTGCTAATGGGACCACACCCCCGGGGCCAAGTCCCACTTACGCTGATTCTTCATGTCGGGCCGTTGATCTTCCAGATCTACGGTCAGAAGTTGAGATTTCGGGTAAGTGGGACTTGGCATAATTCAATTCAGCCTTGGGCACTGGGGGCCCGTTTGTCAAAAAAAAAAAAAGGAAAAAGAAAAGAAAAGAAAAAGAAAAAGAAAAAGAAAAAGAAAGAAAAAAGGAAGCCTTTCTTTCGGGAACGGCTCAGCTCGACCATTATTATCTACGAAAATGTCGAGAACTTGTGACAGAAAATTAGGGGAAAAAAAAAAAAAAAAAAAAAACGTTGCTCTGATTTGCTCATTGATCTGCAGAGAGTCTCGATATATGAGTCGATAACATCCGGGCATTATGAAAAATTACGATGAAAAAAAAAAAAAAAGGAAAAAAAGATTGTGTACTTTGTGTGACAAACCGGACCGGAAGGGTTAACCTTGGTTGCCCGGGCGGCGCGGGCGGGCAAGGATCAGGGGTAAGGTCCCTGTTAAAAAAAAAAAAAAAAAAAAGGAAAAAAAATATCCGGGAAAAAATTATGTTGTGCAGAAATATAAACTGAACACCTTTCGCCCTAGGGTCGGATCGAAATTCTTTTCCGAATTAGAAATAAAAACCTTTTTCTTTTTTTTTGCAGTTCATTTTATTTTTTTAATTAAAAAAAAGCTAATTCTTTAAGCCCAACTACTTACCTGTCACGGCGGTCCCGAGCCTCTCTGGGCCGAGGTCCCACTAGCAAAGAGGATCGGATCGAATGCCTGAATCTGGATGTGTTTTATGCAGAGATGCAGAAAAGCAGTTCAATCTCGATTTCCTGCACCTCTCTACAAACACGTCCAGATGCAGGCATTCGATCCGATCCTCTTTGCTGGTGGGACCACGCCCCTGGTAACATAGAAAACAATACAAAACAAGAAGTGAGGAGGAAACAAAAAAGTAAAAAACAAAAAGTAAAAAAAAAAAAGTAAGAAAAAAAAAAGGTGAGGAGAGTATCCGGGGGCCAAGTCCCACTAGCAGCGTTGAGCTACCTCAACGCCTGAATCTGGACGCTTTTGCGGAGATGTGCAGAAATGGTGTTGAGTTTCCTGCACCGCACGTCTCCACAAACACGTCCAGATTCGGGCGTTGAGGTAGCTCAACGCTGCTAGTGGGACTTGGTCCCGGGTGTCTTGCTTGGTCCGCATTCCCCCCCGGCTGCCCCCCATCTCCCCCGCATCTCCCCCAAAGAGAAAAAGTTTTTGTTTTAAATTTCGATTCCATCTTTTTTTCTCGGATATGGCAACGAGTATTTTCTTTTCTTGTTCCCTTTGTTTTGTTTACCGTAGGCGATGATTTTTTTTTTTTTTTAATTTTAAATTTGGACCTTTTCTCGATTTATGCGTCTCATCCTTGCGCAGGGGCCATGCTAATCTTCTCTTTCTCTGTATCGTTCCAATTTTAACGGATGTCCCGAAGGACTTTTTTGTTTTTTTGATAGGCTTACTAGGCTATGAATTTGTCGAGATAGAAAATAATAATAATAATAATAATAATAATAATAATAATAATAATTAGAGATGATGCTCAGCAAAAAAATTATTGCACCTTTGGGGGAAAAAAAAGGAAAAAAAATTGCTTCAGCGCAAAGATGCATAGCACATCTTTTTCCCCTCCCCTCTCTCTTTTTCTTGTTTTGTTTGCCAAAAATTAATTAGAAAAATAAAAATACAAGAGACGTGTCAAGGCTGTTTTTCTCGGGCCAAAAATGAATTAAAAAAGTAAAAATACAAAAGAGCAGGGGAGGCAAAAGCTTCGACCCTCGATCTCGGGCCAATCCATCCACTCCCCTGTCTAAGAGCAGACCGACCACCATCCCGACTTTGCTATTAAGCCCCTCCAACCCCCTACAAAAAACAGGCGAGACCCCAGGGGAAAAAAAAAAAAAAAAAAAAAAAAGAGGCGAGATTTCCACAAAGACATTCAATCTATAAGGCTATAACATATCCTTTTCTCGTATTTTTTGATGTTTTTTGAAGTCAGAATTCTCTGAATTTTTTTTTTTTACACAGACCCGGGCATTATATGGCACTCGTTCGTGCAGCTGCCCAGTGGGAACTGTGGGATGGTGGGACGATGAGTCAGGTCATTTTCGACGKGAATGAATTTTTGCGAGCRTTGTYGAATCATACTTTATTCTGGATTATTGACCGACTCTCGTGTGACACC